GAGATGCCGTGCAGTGACCTGGCGCCCTTCTTCAAGTGGTGCGACAGGCTCCTCCCTGGCCCGCGCCCGCCCTCCCCGGACCCCCTCGCGCTGTGACGACATATAGTCGCGCCGCGGGAGGTCTTTCCGCTGCTCTTGGCCTCCGGGAATCCCCACCAGGCCTCGGGACCGTCAACAAAACGACTCGGGATGAGACACCGGTCCCGGGGAAGGGATCCTGACCTCTGGGGGTCGGCGTGCAAATCACGACGTCGGGGGGCTGGGCTTGTCTCCCTCTCATGGGACCGCTGCTTCTCCAGGGGCGGCAAAGAGGGGGGCGATGACTAGGGGAGCGTGTGGGTATCATGGCGGGGGCCAAGAGATCTCCCCAGATTTCCTGGCGCCTCCTTTTACTTCAATGCGCCCCTGGCGCCCCCACGGGCCGCGCACATGCCGCCGGCCATGACTTGCGCCCTCCCACTCCCCCTTCCTGGACGCCCCCCTCTTGGACGCCCCCGACTTTGAGGGTCCGCCGATATCCCGGCCATCAGCCCCCCCCCCTGATAACCTGACCACCTCGCTGGCTGCGCATGCCCGAGGGGCCACGCCGCACCGGTGGGCGCGGACATGCGTGGGGCTGGCTGCCAAAAGCCGAAACGGCCGGCACCTCCCCTCCTCGCCCCGCACCGGCCAATCTGGGCTATCGTCGACAAAATGAAAACGATCCCCGTCGTCGCATCCCCACCAACCTCGTCAACGGCCTCGTGGTCTTCATCGTCCTCGCCCTCGTCATCGTCATCGCCAACCTCGTCCTCGTCATCATTGTCATCGTCCTCGTCCTCGTTCTCGGCATCAGCACCACCCTCGGATCCCCCAGCCAGCCCCGGCCCCGTGTGCGGGGCGCTCCAGAGAGGTAGGGCCTCGGGCCTCGAGGGCCTCTCGAGGAAGTGGCGCACCGCCCCCCGGCGCCTCGGCGGAGGGCCGGCCTGTCGGGAGCAGCACGGGGGAGGAGCCCCTTGGCAGCGGAACGACCGCGGAAGTTGGCGGAACGGGACCCCCCCCCAAGTGGTACTCCACCCTCGCGTTTTATGCCTGGAGAGAGAGGCCTCCTCGTCAGAGGAGGAAAAGGTGCCCTGCTGCTACCCTCGCCTAGTTTTCCCCTTTTTGGGCCTCCTGGGCCGACCAAGACGGCCAAGACGACGCCGAAGTCGACCAAGACGCCTATGCCGACGCCGCCGACGACGACGACGACGACGAAGACCACGACGACGATCAGAGTAGAGAAGGCGTATATTAGAGTATCATAGGAATAAAGAAGAGTATGGCAGAGTAGAAGAATGGGCAATAGGGTGGGATAGTATATCGTAGAGTAGAGTAGCGTAGAGTAGAGTAGGGAGGTGCAGATCATATTAGAGAAGAACTGAGTCGAGTGCGAAAGAGAACATGAGTAGAGTAGAGCAGAATGCGAGTAGAGCAGAGCTGAGTAGAGCAGGGTAGAATATGAGTAGGGTCGAGCAGAATAACTGTAGAGTAGAATCGAGTATGTCAAGTATAATCGAGTATGGTGGTACGGTCGGGTAGAGTAGAGTACGGCAGAGTAAAGTATGGTAGAGTAGAGTAGAGTTTGGTCGGGTAGGGAAGGGTAGAGTAGAGTGGGAAACGGTCGAGCGTGTTAGAGCAGGGTAGAATACAGTAGGGCCCCAGTAGGATACTAAGAGAGCTGGATCAAGCCCGAATAGCACTCTGTCAGAGCCGGCGCCCAGAGCCCGAGCCCGGAGCGGGCGTTGGCGACAGGTGCGCCGCCGCCGCCACCGCTGACGTTGTCGCCGTGGTCGGCGTCGTCTTAGGCGTTGTCGTCCTCGTCGTCGGCGTCGTCGTCGCTGCGCTGCCCATTGGGGGGAGGGGAGTTCTGGACTACCCAGAGAATTTTCCCAGGGGGGGGGGTCCGGACCCCTTCGGTTTTTTTTTTCGGGTATAGCCAGGACCCCAGGCAAGGGGACCAGGGTAGTGTTAGGGCCCTGGAGCCCTTGTGTCGTCCAGAATCACTGAACCAGTTCTGCCAACGCCCGATTTTTGTGGGCTTGCAGGGGATAGAGTGTGTGTGTGTGTGTGGACTACTTTTGGGGTATCGTTTTTTTGATTTTTGTTGGGGGTATCTTTGGCTTGTTTTGGGATTATGTTTGGGGTATCTTTTATTTTCCGTCGAAAATCCCCTTGTAGGGGGACAGGCCCGACATAAGGATAGGGTTTTTTTGTGGTGTGTGTGTGTGTGGGTGGGGGGGGGGGAGGTTGGGGGGGGGGGGGGAGGCCTGGCTCCTGCCCCCCCCCCTTGGGCTTGCGGAGGCCTCACGGCTGGTGCCGCCGAGCCTGAGAGACATCGACGACGACCAGGAGGGGGAGGAGGAGGAGGAGGAGGAGGAGTCGGGCGGGCGGGCCCAGACGGCCGGGTCGAGCGGGCGGGTGGTTGAAGCGCCAGCCCTGGATGAGTCTCGATGATGTTTCGGGCGATAGCGCGATTCCCAAGCAAACCGCGAGGAAGTCAAGAGCGAGAGCGTGATTCGTGAGTGTCGAAGGCGCGGCGTTTTAAGACATTGCTTGGATACATACTTGAGACGTCCAGGGCGGGAGCGCGAGTTTAAATAGATGAAGAGGAAGTCTCAGCCTGGAGCCGTTGTTGTGGTTCGGGGGCCAACAACGCAGTTCGGAGACCCAAGCTTGTCTCTTGGAAAATACAGGGTGCCAGCCCTGGTAGGCACTCTTCAAATGAAGAACACATTGTGCACCGGAAGGGGAGAAGAGCAATCTATCAGAAATGACATTTCATCAACAGCATCAATCACTGTAATGCTGTTCGCTTTCATCGTGCGCTCGCGTGTCATTCAACATGTCATACCCCGAACCCTTGATACCGAAAGCGCGCCAGCGGATGGCCCTGAATGCACAAAAGGGGGGGGTGCTCGCAGACCCCCCCCCCCCATCCCCCCCCTCCCCTCCTTTGCGCCGAACAGGGGGCTGGGGAGGGGGCCTCTCGGGTAGTGATGAGAGAGTAGAGTGTTTCGAGTAGCGATTGGTGAGTAATGGGTGTTTGATAGTGAGTAGTGCGCAGTGAGTCGTGAGTGGTGAGTAGTGAGTAGTGGGTAGTGGGTAGTGGTAGTAGTGAGGAGCGCGTAGAGATTAGCGAGTAGTGAGTAGTGGGTAGTGAGTAGTGGGACGGAAGTCGTGAGTAAGGAGTTGTGAGTTGTGAGTAGTGAGGAGTGAGTAGTGTGTGGTGAGTAGTGCATAGTGAGTAGTACGCAGAAGTAGGGATGAGGGACTAGACAGTAGCGAACAGCGAGGAGTGAGTAGTGAGTAGTGAGTGGTGCGCAGTGAGTAGACATTCGTGAATGGTGAGAAGAGGGTAGCGAGTAGCGAATGGAGAATAGCGGGTCGGGAGTAGCGAGAAGCGAGTAGTGAGTAGAGAGTAGCGAGTAGGGCGTTGTGATATAGTGAGTAGTGAGGAGGGAGTAGTCAGGAGTCCGTAGTGAGTAGTGAGTAGGGAGTAGTGCGTAGCGAGTAGGGAGTAGCGAGTAGTGAGTAGTGAGAAGTGAGCAGTCAGTTGTGAGTAGTGAGTAGGGAGTAGTGCGTAGTGAGAAGCGAGAAGCGAGAAATGGGTATTGAGTAGTGGGTAGTGTGTAGGGAGTAGCGAGTAGAAGTTAGTGAGTAGTGTGTAGTGAATCGTGTGTACTGAGTAGTGGGTAGTGAGTAGTGTGTAGCGACTTGGAAACTCGTGACTAGTGAGTAGGGAGTAGGGAGTAGTGAGTAGTGAGTAGCGAGTAGTGGGTAGTGGGTAGTGAAGATGTCATATTGGGTAGCGAGTAGTGGATAAGGAGTAGTAAGTTGTGGGCGTTTCGTAGTGAATAGTGATTTGTGAGTTCTCAGTCGTAAGTAGTGGATAGTGGTTACTGGGTAGTGAGTAGTGCTTAGTGAGTAGTGGGTAGTGGGCAGTGAGTAGTGTTTAGTGAGTAGTGAGTCTTGCGTTTTGGGTAGTCAGTAGTGAGTAGTGGGTTGGGAGTAGGGAGTAGGAAGTAGTGAGTAGTGAGTAGTGGGAGCGTAGTGGGTAGTGAGTAGTGGGTGGTGAGTAGTGCGTATTGGGTAACGATCAGGGCGTAGGGAGTAACGGGTAGTGAGCAGTGAGTAGTGAGTACTGTGTAGGGAGTAGCGAGTAGTGGATAGTGAGTCGTGGGTTGTGAGCGGTGAATAGTGAGTAGTGAAGTGTGAGTAGTGAGTACTGGATAGTGATTAGTGGGTAGTGGGTAGTGATTGTGATTAGTGTGTAGTGAGTAATGAGTTGTGTTTAGTGAGTAGAGAGTATTGAGTAGTGGGTAGTGAGTAGTGAGTCAGTAGGGAGTATGGAGCAGGGAGTAGTGAGTAGTGCGTCGTGGGTAGTAAGTCGTGGGTAGTGAGTAGTGAGGGTAGTGAGTAGTGCGTAATGAGTAGTGAGTGTTGTTTGGGGCTAGGGTTTGCGTGTGGGGTTCGGGCCATTCGTGTTAGGGGTGGTAGATGTTGGGTTCCGGAGACGGGGGGCGCGCCGTGGCGAAAGGGGGGGAGAGGGGGGGTCGGATTTGGCGGCCAAAGGAGGGGAGGGGCGCGGGGGGGTCGGACCCCCCCCCCCCGTTTTGAAAGGGGGGGGGTCCCCGACGACGGACCGGGAAAGGGGGGGGGGTTCCCCGACGACGGATCGGGAAAGGGGGGGAGAAGGGGGGGGGGCTTTCGCCGACGACGGATCGGGGAAAGGGGGGGGGGGTCCCAACCCCCCTTCCCCCCCCTTGGGGCCATCCAGCGGCGCGCCTTCCTTGATACCCGCTCTCCTCGTCTCCGATCGTAGCATCCCATTGTGGCATGTTTTCCTTGCCTGCCACGAGTAGCTGGCGCAACCCCGAAAACAGGGGAAGGGAGGGAAGAGAGACAATGGGAAGAGAGCAGGATGAAACGTGAGAGAGATTAAGTCGTCGTTGTCGTGTTCATTGTTTTGCCGATCGGCGTGGGCCCTCCCGCCCTTCCCCTTCACCCCCCGTTCCTGGAGTAGATC